GGAAGGACATTCCAAGTTGAAAGCAAAACCTAAGCAGCAGCACAGAAACAAGAAGTTTCAAGACATGTTTGGGAAACAGTGGTCAGAGGAGGCTCAAGGTTTGTTAGATGTGTGAAATGAGTTTGGACAGGTAGTTTAAAACCGGACCATGGGTCAAGGTTCTTGGTTATTCCTTACTGAGTGCTTACTGCATACCAAATGTAACCAGTGAGTTAGGATTTTTTTTTTTTTGATGAAAGAGCATTAATTCTAAATAGCTTTACGTATTGTTTATTTATATGTTTATTAATTAAGTTGATTAATTAAGTTAATTAACTGAATCATTAAGTTGATAATTAAGTTTAGTTGAGTTAGGATTTTGTTTTTTTGATGAAAGAGCATTAATTTTGAATAGCTTTACTTATTGTTTATTTATATGTTTATTAAACTTACTGTTTATATGTTTGTTTTTATATGTTTACATTTTTTTATGTTTTATATGTATACTTTGTATACACTCATTACAAAACTTGAACAAGACAAAAATAAACAAGATAGTAAAATTACTCTTTATCTTGAATCTCTTTTTACAGGGGTAAAAATTTTTAGCAGTTTACTGTGTCTGCTTCCAGACTTCTAATTATACATGTAGAAATACATACAGATTTCTTTGAAAGACAGGATTATATAGTGTATACTGCTCTACAGCTAATTTGATCGAACATGTTTCTTCGCCAGTGAGTTCAGATTGACCTCATTCCTTTTTTTTACTCCTCACCCAAGGATATGTTTATTGATTTTAGAGAGAGAGAAGAAGGGAGAGAGAGAAAAACATTGATGTGAGAGAGAAACATCAGTTAGTTGCCTCCTGTACATACCCCAACCATGGATCAACCAAACCAGAGATTGAACCTGCAACCTAGATATATGCCCTGACCAGGAATTGAACCCTCAACCTTTTGGTGTACAGGACGATGTAACAACTAACTGAGCTACCCGGCTGGGGCACAACCTCATTCTTTTAAAGGCTGTGTGGCAACCCATTAATCAGATATAAAAATTTATCCAGCAACAACAAAAATTATCTAACAAGACACCTGGGATAGAACTTTAGGTTATTTATAGATTTTTACTGTCACGGTGTTGTAGTAAACATTCTTGTATATTGTAAGAATGTAGTAAACATTCTTGTATATCTAAATATTTCTTCCACATTCTTGCATGTGGGAGAAATATTTAGAAATAAAATAGCTGGATCAAAGGTTTTGTCATTTAAAGTTTTCATTTTGCCTAATTTTCCATCAATAGATTTTAATAATTTGTTTCTCTTTACAGAGCTCATAACTATTGATATTTTTAACCTTTTATAATTTAATTGGGAAAATACTTTAATTTGTTTTTATTGGATCATTATTGATGGGGAAGCATCTTTTCATAATTTTGTTGGCCATTTATATTTTTCTTTGGGGAATTGCTTGGTCCTGTGTTTTGCAATTTTTAAGAAATTTGATGTACTTTTTTAAGGTTGACTTTTTGTACACTCTAAAATATGGGTAATAACCCTTCCTTATAGTCATTAATTCGTACATAATTCAAATAGTTGAGTGCCTGCTGTATACTGGTGCTGGAAATATATTGGTGAACACAACAGGTATGGATCATGCAGTCTAGTGGGACATGGTGAGATGCTCAGCTATAGAATTGAAATTGTCATCAGCATGTATAAACAAGAGGGTCTAATTCTAGATTTGAAGATTAGACAATAGCTGTACAAAGTCCTAGAAATGAGGAAGATCAGATGACTTGGAGGAAATGAGAGCTCAAGTTGGCAAGAAGAACAAATGGTGGAGTTGAAAGTGGAGAGGTAGAACATCCAGAGCCTTATAAAGGATTTTGTTCATCCCATGGGCTACTGGAAAGTTTGAAGGACTCATAAGCTGAAGTGTGGCAGAGTGAAACTGAAGTTCACATTTTACAAAGGTGACTCTGCCATCAGTGTAGAAGTGGCAAAGAGCATTGCAGGACTGGTGAGTGGTGAATGGGGAGAAGACAAGTGTCCAGGAAGCAGGAGCAGCAGTCACTTAACAAGGAGCTGCTCAATTGTGGACAACACCAAGGGTGTCAAGGAGGGATGTTTCCTGAGGATCGTATTTCAGGTGGTTCTTCTCAGCTGTGGTCCAGGCCAGTGGCTGTGATGAGTTTGCATAGTTAACTTAGGTGGTTTGGTTTCATCCTGTAGAAGCAGCAGTGATTTCTTTTCTGTTGTTGTGCAGCCTTCTTTTGAGAAATAAACACTTTATAGCATGTGATCTTGATTTTTTCCCACTACCAGAGTCATTTCAAAGCACTAATTAGACACTTCTCCATGGCCTGCCAGCATTTTTTACATTTTTTAACTTAAGGTAGAGTGTGTGTGTGTACACACACACATATTTATTCTTACCCAAGGACTTTTTTTCATTGCTTTTAAAGAGAGAGGAAAGGAGAGTGAGAGGGAGGGAGGGATGGGGAGAGAGAAAGAAAGAGGAAGAGAGACATTGATTGGTTGCCTCCCATATGTGTTGGACTGGGAATTGAACCCACAACCTAGATATGTGCCCTGACCAAGAATTGAACCTGTGGCCTTTTTGGTGTATGGGACAATGCTCCAATGAACTGAGCCACATGACCAGGGTAGTAGAGATGTGTGTTTTATTTGTAGTAAAAATTTTAAATTTTAAATTTATTTGATGGAAAATTATAAGCACGTCTTAAAGTTTTTGTTTAAATCTTAAATATGTTGCTTTGTGGATAAATGTATGTATTATTATTCTTCTGTTACCTGTTTTTTTTTCCAGTCTCATGAATTTAAATGACATTTGAATCACAGAAGTTTAAAATCTGCAGAAGCAATTAGTAACTTTTCATTTATATTTTACTAGATAAGTAGATTGAATCTGGTCATTTTATTCTCAGGAGATAAGAATTCTGATGAAGGATTAGAGATTCAATGCATGCAAAGTAGTCAGAGATTGTAAGTATAATTAACTTATTGGTTAAAATATAAGAGTAGATAGCAAGCACTCTGAACCCTCTCCCTTAAGATTAAAGAAAAAATTAAAATGAAGTGCCACATGTTTTAAAGGAATCCAATCATATCAGTTCTTACCAGAATTTTAGTAGTGTTCCTTGAGCTTTGAGAAAATAAAGAGTCAGACAAAATATTTTATTTACATACCGAATTTTGTAAAAATCCCTTAAAAACAAGTGAGAAAATATTGAAAACGGTTGATTTTTTAAAAACTTTTCTACATTACTTAAGAACTTTTTTCTACAACTTAGAAAAGGTCATCTTTCTATCCAGAGGGAAGTCCCACGTTATGTGTCATTCTTTTACTACCATGTGTGGTTCTCTGCTGGCACATCTCTGTTCTTTTGGTGACATCTCTTGAGGTCATTTGCAGAGTAGACCTTCATGGGCTTTGAGGTTCTGTCGTGTCTTTCAGGCTGATCATATAGTATTAATGTTTATAGTAATATGATTTTCTAGTGTAATTTTAAATAATTTACCCATGTTAGTTGATTATTGGATTTTGCATCAGAGTAATTTTATTTTTCCAAAGAATGCTTGCAATGGTTTTATTGTGAGTGGTAGGTAGAGCAGAAGAGTATTTGCTAGGTATTAAGCTTAGTACCCCCTGAGCATTGTGTAAACCCAAAGGCTGGAAACAGCTAGCTGATCATTTCTTTTTCTTTTTCTATTGTTGTCCAATTACAGTTTTCCTCTAGCTGATCATTTCGAACTTTGCCTGTATGTTTGAATGATACTAATTCTTTTTGTTCTACATTTTGGAATATATAGTTTTTAAAGTATATTTTAATTTCTTGAACAGGTAATATAGTCACATCATTCAAAATTTAAAAGATAGCAAAAGTTGACAATTCAGTTTAAGAATCCCTATGTAGGAACCACAGTGAGAGTTTCCTCTTTGTCATTCTTACATCTGTGATAGTGAATTGGTTTTGATTTGCATCTTTATATGATGCTTTAAGACCTTGTGTGTTGACCTTTTTTTGACACTGTGAGTTCATATTTTTCTGAGTGAATGAATATCTTTTTACTTTGACTAAGGTGTAACCAGTTTTAAAATATTCTCCATATGCTGCAAGTACTCATGATGTTTAAACCTTTTAAAGTGCAGCTTTCCAAAGCAACATGGCATCTCTTGGGAGGTGGTGATAGTATGGGCCAGGTTTTACCGTCCTCTCAGAATTTAGCTCTTATTTTTTCCCCCATTTTTTTCACTTAATTAAAACATTTATCGAGATTTTCAGGTACACAAAAAAATAGGAATCCTTATATATGTGATTCTTAAAACACACATCTAGATTCACAAGGATCATTACCTGTTTAAAAACATAATTCTTCCCCCCCAAAATGTCTTACTGCAGATTCACCACTCATTAGTTAAAACAACAAAAATGTAACATTTGGTCTGATTTGGAAATACCACCAAGATAAATCAAGTGAAGAAAAATAAGGTTCAGCACAGTGTATATTTTATACACCTTTTATTTTTAAAAAGGGAAAATAAAATACATAGTCGTATTTGCTTGTATATTCCCAAAGTAACTTCGAAAGGATACAATAAAAAAACAATCAAATTGGTTACCTGATTACTAGAAACAGGACAGGAGACTTTGAACTCTTACCTTTCTGAGTTTGCTTGTTTAATTTTTTGAACTGTGTGACACTATTAAAAATGAATTTAAAATTTATTCAAAACTAAAATTTAAAATTCACTTAAAAATTATAATTTGAAAATATAGCACAATAAGGGCTGTTTCCCCATTGATTATTTGGCAGGCCTTTTGACTATGCCAAATAGTCCATGAACTGATAGGTATGAGAAATATGCTTTGAAGACTACATTTTTCATATCCTTACCCCGAATGGCAGAGAACTTATTTTATTGTAACCTATTTTCCCTTTTCTTATCCCCACCTTTTTTTTTTTTTTTTTTTTTTTTGTTTTTTTAAAGGCTGGTGGGGTAGCAGGTGTCTCTGTTGACTTGATATTATTTCCTCTGGATACCATTAAAACGAGGCTGCAGAGTCCCCAAGGATTTAAGAAGGCTGGTGGTTTTCGTGGAATATATGCTGGCATTCCTTCTGCTGCTATTGGATCCTTTCCTAATGGTAAAAATTATATTGATATTCTCCCTACTATAAAGCCAAGATAATAGGATTTATTTTCAGAATGATATATGCTGTTGCTCCATACGGAATTTCTTATGTGTTATTGCTTATCTTCTGAATTTGTTTTCTATTCATTAACCTATTATTTTTGAATCAGCTATAGATCCCATTCCACTGTATTTTTAATAGAAAAAATATGATCAATCTTTTAAAAGATTTTTATTTATTTTTAGGAAGAGGGAAGGAAGGGAGAAAGAGGGGGAGAGAAACATTGATGTGTGATCAGTTGCCTCTCGCGTGCCCCCAACCAGGCACCTGGGCTTGCATGTGCCCTCAATCGAACTGGCAACCTTTCATTTCACAGGCCGGCGCTCAGTCCACTGAGCCACACCAGCCAGGGCTGAGCAATCTTTTAAAAATGTTTTTTGTTGTTAAAATTCCCAGTTAGAATCCTTAATGTGTTATTTCTGACATTGATTATGATGCCTTAGAGCAGAGTTTCTCAACCATGTCTGCACACTGGAATCTCTTGGGAAACTTTAAAAATTACTGATGCTTGTGTCACACCTAGAAGTTTAATTGGTCTGAGCTCTGCCGGCGCGGGGGCCGGGGGTGGGGCAGTTTATTAGCTTCTCAGGTGATTCCAGTGTGAAGCTGAGTTTAATAACTATTGCACCAGTGAGTCTTCTGGAGCAGATGAATCTAAGAGACATTAAACCTTTCTGTCTTCACTAAATTGCTGTTAGATGATACAACCAATTTCCACTAATCTCTCAAATATTCTTCCAGTGTCTTTTGTTTTGGGTTTGAAGTCACATTATATGATTAATGACCCTCTTATTTTATAATCAGTATCATCTGTTTTACCTGATTCATTTGTTGGTGTACTTTTTTCAGATATTTACCTCGGTTTAATTGTTTATTCATGCTTTAGATGATACAACCAATTTCCACTAATCTCTCAAATATTCTTCCAGTGTCTCTTGTTTTGGGTTTGAAGTCACATTATATGATTAATGACCCTCTTATTTTATAATCAGTATCATCTGTTTTACCTGATTCATTTGTTGGTGTACTTTTTTCAGATATTTACCTCAGTTTAATTGTTTATTCATGCTTTAGTAGCATTGAAAAGCAAACAAAAACACGACCACTGCCACACACACACAATTATAGAACCTCTCTGCTCTAGGAGATTCTTAAATCCTTGGGGTTTGACTTCTTTTTTCTTGAGATAATTCATGAGAAATTCTTTCATGTTAACTTGACATTTAACTGTCCATTTATGTCCACGTGTGAGCACAGCATTCACATAAAGATTCATAGTGCATGGAGACAAACAGTGTTTTGGTCCCTTTGTTTCCTTCTCTCTTCTTCCCCTGCTCCAGCAGTCCTGAGAACAGCAAACTTTTGAGGTTATCCTTGAATTTTCATTTGTCTTACTTCTTTCAGTAATTGATTACAGCATGTTAGAATTGAGCATCCACTCAATGCCAAGTATGACTCTGTGTGTGGGAAAGGGGCAGTGTTTCCTAAATTTTATCACGTTGCAGTCACTTGATCACTAGATCAGATTTTTAGAAGCACTGATACCTGTGTCCTACTTCCAGAGATTGTGATTTAATTCATTTGGGGCTATGGCCTGGGAGCTGGAAGTTTAAAAAAAAAAATCCCCAGGAAGTTTAATATGCAGACAAATTGGGAACCTTTGAATGAGGGAATTGAAAAGAGTATGTTACTAGGTTCCTGTCTTTTGGCCATGAGGTTTTATGCTGTCTTCCTCATTGTCCTAAAGATCTTTTTTTCTTACATATTGCACGTAGGAATTACTGTTGGTAGATATGGTATTAATGATAGTCTGCAGGGTACATGGTGCTTCATTCAGCTTACAGGACTGGTTCAGATTTTTTTTAATAGCTTATTTTATAAATTTTTTCCCGTTTTCATTTATTCCCCCTGGTTTAGCTTCTTGCCAGGAGGAGTTTACATACAGAACATGTTTTGAATTTTTGTGTGTGTGATAAAATGGCATTTTCACCAGGCTTGCTGCTTTTTCCCCCGCCCCCCACCCACAGAACATCATTGGATTGGAAATGTTGGGTAAGTAGTCAGTGCCAGGGGTTCAGAAAAGGTCTTTTTGTTTTTCTTTAAAGTTTTGGTGAATAGAAATTTTCTATGTGGTACTTTTTTTTTTTTTTTCCTGTTGCTGTTAAAGTCCTAGTCTGAGTACAGTAGACCACTCCAACATTGAGTGGTTGTAGAGTTTTTTTGGAGAACATACTTTGCAGGAATGAGTAGTTGGGGATGGAGGAAATTGAAAATTGAGAGACAGAAAGACATGTATTCAGGATCCTTACTCTGTATTTTATAGGGGATTGCAGAAAAAAACATAGTTTTTTTTTTTTCTATTCCATTTTTTATTGTTTAAATACATTTGTCTCCATTTTCCTGCCACCACTTTCCCCTGCCCCACCCACTCCTCTTCCCTCCCTCAGTCCTTCCCCACTTTGGCTTTGTCCCTGGGTCCTTCATGCATGTTCCTTGACTTGACCCTTCCCCTTCTTTTTGTCGTTACCCCACTCACTCCTTCCTCTCGTCACTGTGGGTTTGTGAAAAACAAACCAAACCAAAACAAAACAAAACATAGTTTTTTTTCCTTTTTTTAAGAGTTAGAAGAGACTACAAACCCCCCTCTTTGTTGTAACTTGCCTAGAGCTTCATTTGGAACCCTATTGTGCCATCATTTTCAAGTAGCAAGGGCTATCTTAGGTGCCACCCAGGAGAGTTTTGGGGGTTACATTTCTAAAGAACTTTCTTTGTCTATCATAAAAGTAGCAATAAGGTCTGACCATGTAGAAGTGGTTAAACATGAAAACCTAGAAACTTGGCAGTCTTTCTCCCTTCTCCTAGCAGGTGGGGTGGGAGAGTGGATTGTGTAGCAGGTGGAACTTAGCTGAAGCAATTGGAGATATTCCAGCTGTATATTTAGTGAGTGGGCTAAAATAGGAAAACCCTTATTTGGAACCACAGATGGGAGTAAGGACTTGTGATAACTCTATGCACAGGTCATAACTCTTCTTGAGACTGCTTTCTCACTGATGTTTGTTTGTTAGCAGCCTGAAGAGTGTTTACAACAACAAACCCTGCTGACTTTAACTGTGGAGAACTTATTTTCACTATCAAACTCTTTCCCTGTGGGTTTAAGACTTTAATGTGACATGGTCAGATGTCTTTCAAAAGGTGGATTTGTTCTTTATTGATCTTTTATGCCTTATCTTTTATGGAAGTGATAAACATCTTTTGTTAATAGTACAAGGCAGGTCTTAAAACCCTCTTGTGCAGCTAAGGTTATCTCATGGTGATAGGATTTTGAGATTTTGATTTCCAGTTTTATTTTTCTTTAATTTTTTTTTGATTTCCAGTTTTAATTGTTCATTGTTTTCTTGATGTAAAGGTGAGTTGATACTGTAGTAAAAAGTATCCATGGTTATTTTGAATAAACAGCAATAAAATATCATTAGATGTTTTATTTAGTTAATGTATATGTTTGCAATTTTAACCTGTCTATACAGATTATTTTATGACTGTATAAGGAAATTTATATCCCTTTCTAGAAAACTTACTAAGAAATAAGTGATTTGTTAGTACAAAACGGTAAAAGATGGGTTAGCTGTTAGGCTTCTTTGGGGCTGGTGTCATGTCTTCTGCGTTTTTGTAGGTCCAGGTCAGGCATACAATATCTTGGTAAATTCTGCAAGACTGAGGGGGGGAAGGGAAAGAGTATGTGTTTATTATCTTTATTTATTATGTCATACTTTATTAACTAGAGTTACAGTTTTTTTGACAAACATATTTCTTAACCTTGTGAAAGGCTGGCTTATTTTAAATTTCAGCTGCTGCATTTTTTATCACCTATGAATATGTGAAATGGTTTTTGCATGCTGATTCATCTTCATATCTGATGCCTCTGAAGCATATGTTGGCTGCTTCTTCTGGAGAAGTGGTAAGTAACAAGTTATGTATATAAAACACTTCAGAAATATAAAACATGCAAGTATTTGTTTTACTTTTTAATGAAATGAAATATTTTTTAAGTTATAAATTCCAATAAATGTGAATGGATTAACATGATAATTAAAAGACAGAATCTAGATAGAATGAAAGAAAAATCCAATTATGTTCTATGTACAAGAGGCAGACCTAAAACAATTACAGAAAGAGTAAATTTAAAGAGTTGGAAGAGGATACCCGTGCAAAATTGTGATGGCTTTGTATTATGTCAGCATAACTGAGCTAAGACTCTTTCCTAGAACTCCCTTTCCAGGATGCTTCTAGGTTAGGCTGGCTATGGCAGACATTTGTACAAGATGTGTAAGGTGGAAGTGAAACAGCTGTTGAAGTTATGCTAGGCGGTTTGGGGTCGCATCAGGTATGCTTGCAGTTCATACACTGCGTCACTGCCTGGGGGCTCAGGCAGCTCCTCCAGCTCCCACTGGATCATCTTCAGCTTCTCTACATTCTGAGTCCACAGGTATGGGCACTGTGGTTAAGGGTGTCAGCTTATACTGCAGGCCACCCACAACATCAAGGTTGGTGGGAGATAACGTGAGTTCCTGCTTGTCCTGGCTTTCCCTGTATCACATCCACCTTTCCTTCCTGATTCCCTGCCCTCTGACTTCTGTCCTAGCTCTGGACACAGAAATTACAGTTCTGCATAAGCTACTTATTCAGCTCCCATAATGACTTTTCATATTTCTATAATAACATTATTATTATTCATAGTGGTTCTACAACTCTGATCAACCCTACCTGATACAGAAATAATAACTGAAAGACTAATAGAATAATGTTAATATCAGACAAAAAAGGACAGAAAGCAAAAACCAAAGAGACCATTGTGTAAATGATATAGGGAATAATTCTCCTGAGATACATAATGAACCTGAACCTGGAATAATTAATATAGTGTCAAAATATAAAACAAAAATTTCCAGAATTATAAGGAAAAGTGAGTAAAAATATAATTTTCATTGGAGATACTGACCATCTATCTGTAAAAGTCTTTAAGACCAGACAGGCATTAAATTAAAAATAATGCAGGGTTATTTTTTCCTACATTAACACAGAGGAGAAGGGTACCAATAAACATTTCCCCACAACCCTCACCCACTTAACTTTCTCTCAGCCCCTCCTGCTCAATACTAAGGGACAATCTCTGTTGGAATTTTTTGTGTCTCCATTCAGAAATGTGTGTTCTTTACTATTGTTATCTTCAAATCACGGGGTCCGGTGTTTATGCGGTCTTACTAAGCCGCCCCAGTTTTTGTTATGGGCAGGAGTGGACAACAAAGTGAAAAGAAAAGATCTCCGTGTATGAACCTTTTATTATTTTATCAAGTAACACTTTTGTTCTGTTTTGGAAAGTAGTTGTATATATTAATGTTAGGAAGTTTGGAAAGCGAATCATTTTTTTAACATTTACTTGAAAAGTAATTATATATGTGGTTTTGTTTCTGTGTGCTGTATTTCTTTTTTTTATTTTTTTATTTGTAACCATTTAATTATATCATTATTATTTTTGAATTTACTATTTTACTACTTTATTTTTATTTTTTTTTAATTTATTTTTTCAAATACATTTGTCTCTGCCTACCCCCCACCACATTCCCTTGCCCCCTCCCTCCTTCCCTCCCTCAGCTCTTCCCCTTTGGTTTTGTCCATGAGTCCTTGCTATATGTTCCTTGACTTTCCCCTTCCCTTGCTTTTCCCCGCCCCCTCTCCCTCCTTCCCTCTTGTCTCTGTTGATTTCTTTTCCTTTCAGTGTTGCTGGTCTTATTTTCCTTGCATCTTTGTTTTGTTGGTTAGGTTCTGCTTATAGGTGAGATCATATGGTATTTGTCTTTCGCCCCCTGGCTTATTTCGCTTAGCATAATGCTCTCCAGTTCCATCCATGCTGTCGTGAAGTGTAGTAGTTCTTTTTTTCTTTCTGCTGCATAGTATTCCATTGTGTATATGTACCATAACTTTTTGATCCAATCATCTACTGATGGGCATTTCGGTTACTTCCAACACTTGGCTATTGTAAATTGTGCTGCTATGAACATTGGGGTGCATAGGTTCTTTTGCATTGGCATTTTGGTATTCTTAGGGTATAGTCCCAGCAGGGGAATCACTGGATCAAAAGGCAGTTCCATTTTCAGCTTTTTGAGGAAATTCCAGACTGCTTTCCACAGTGGCTGCACCAGTCTGCATTCCCACCAACAGTGGACTAGGGTTCCCTTTTCTCCACAGCCTCGCCAGCACCTGTTGTGTGTTGATCTGTTTATGATGGCCATTCTGACCGGTGTGAGGTGGTACCTCCTGGTGGTTTTGATCTGCATTTCTCTGATGGCTAGTGATGCCGAGCATCCTTTCAAATGCCTCTGGGCCCTCTATCTCTTCCTTGGAAAAACGTCTGCCCAGGTCCTTTGCCCATTTTTTGATTGGATCGTTTGTCTTCTTGGAGTGGAGTCGAGTGAGTTCTCTATATATAAGCTGCTATATTTCTTTTAGAAAATTTGGATGAAAATCTACAAACTTATTTTCTTCACTTGAATAATAAAATTTTCTTCACTTGAGAATATAGAGAATGGGGATGATGAAAAGAGAGAGATCCTGACAGAAAAGTAAATGTAAAAACTAACTTTAAGAAGACAATTAAAAAATAACAGTTTTATTGAGGAACAATTCATATACCATACAATTTATCCACTTAAAGTTTACAATTCGTGGTTTAGTATAATTGCAGAGTAGTGCAACCACCATCAGAGGCAGTTTTAGAACATCTTCATGCCCCCGAAAGGAAACCCTGTGCCCATTAACAGTCACGCTCCTTTCCCCGACTTCCCAGCCCTGGGCAACCAGTCAGCTGCTTTTTATCTTTCTGGATTTGCCTATTTTGAACATTTTATATAAATGGAATCCTACAATATTTGCAAGGGTTCTCTTTTTTCCATAGCCTCACCAACACTTGTTATTTCTTGTCTTTTTGTTAGTAGCCATAAAATGGATTCCTTAATTAAGAAATCAGTTGTATGGGTCCTAGAAGAGAATGTTGAAAGAAATTAGCCCGAGAGACATTAAAATCACTGAAGTGTTTAAAGTAAACTTCTCTTTTGTCATTGATTTAAAAATGATTTTGCAGAACCCAAGTTAACCCTGGATTAAAAAGAATTGCCTTTATAATTAACTGCTGTTATAAAAGTGATGGACCTAAAATATATTAATATTTTAATAGCAAAGAACATAAAGTAGTAGTTCCTTTTGTGAACTAGAAACCCCTTTAGGAATCTAATGAAACCCTATGCCTGTTTCTCCAGTAAAGTGGACATATGGATATTTGCATAAAGTTTCTTGGCATTTTCAATTCTTTATACTCTTACTCAAAGTAAGAACTTGAGTGATTGAATTCTACCTGAAAATTAGCCCAAATTGCAATTTGAAAGGAAGTTATACTTATTTTAAAAAAATCTTTTAACCTATTATCCTTTGTTTAGATTTTTTTTGGTGCTATTACTCTGAAATTAGAATCTTATTGCATGAGTTTATTTTTAGTATGTGTACTAAAGAATAACAAATCACAGATGAGCATTCTAGTGTCTCTCAGGTTGTAAAAATTCTGTACTTATGGCAGCTATTGCCTCTGTTTTAGAAATTCATGTTGCCTTGATTAAGGTTAAATATATTCTCATAAATTCGGTATTTGATTTACATTGTTTAATATGTTGCTGAAAGCAAGCAGCAAAAAGAACTTGGCCACTTATTTCATTTCACATAGAACCATCTTGCCTGAAAGCTAGTTTGAGGTGTTGAAGGACAGGCTTTCTTCAGTTTGTAAACTTCCTTTTAGAATTACAAAAGAAAAATAAAAGTATTTAAACTGATATATGAAGTGGGGTAAATGAGAGCTGTTAGGTTACTCATGTTAATGATACATCTTTTCATTTGTAGAAAATTCTATATATTCTAATACTTTAATACCTGTAACTGGCATTTTAAAAATACAGAAGCCCTTGTAATATAATATTCTGTGTGTGAACTGTTGCACATAGGTGGTGCTGTAGGTAGACATTAGTTGGGAAACAAGTATTATAAGAGTGGAAATATACAATTCTAGGACATTCTTATCTTTACTGGGTCTTTTAGGGTTTCCATAGTCCCTTAGGTGGTAAGGCCTGATGTAAGATGCCTTTTTATAGGCTTCTTGATGTCTGAAGGAGTTTAAAAGGAGAATTTATCAGCAGTGGGTATGTGGATTGACGTCACAGGTGGAACAACTCTTGATGTGGACTTTTAATTGATTTTAAAGTTAATTACAATTTAATATGCTGAAAAGATTGTCAAGTGTAGAAAGTTTGTGGAAATGTTGGTTCTGATGCTCTAATCATCTTTGAATTGCCTTTAAAAACCTTCCAAAGCCATTCAGTATCAGTTTTCTCAGCATATGCTTGAGAAATGTATGTATTATTTCTCTGTTGTAAAAACTTATTTCAATCTCATAGAGCATAAACTTTTGGTTTCAGATTCATACAATTGTGGTTGCTAAAAGCAAGAGAAAGAAATGAGTGAATTAAGGAGAAACAAATTTTCATAGGTAAAATAAAGTGGAATAGAAAACAAAAACATGTATAGCTGTCAATAGTCAGAGAGGTTTAAAGACCCAAAGGAAGTAATAGTTCAGTCATTGCTGCATAACCCGTTTACTTTGATATAAGATTGTTATGTTACAGATTTCTTAGAAACAATACCTTCAGAATGTGTCCACAATTACTTCGTTGTAGCAAATATAAGTGTTTGAAACTTAGAAGCAGAACCCTACCGTAATAACCATTCCCTGTAGCAGCACCTTGATTAAAACTTAATGACAAATCAATAAAACTATAATTACAACCTTCTACCTTGTGTTTGTAGTTTGGAATATAGTAAAATGGATCACATAAGATTTAATATGTGACAACAATAAGA